AACTATTATTAACTACCATATTATTTTAAAAAGTAATAAAACTTTTTCTTATATTAAATTTATTCTAAATATCTTCCACGCCCTCTTCGAAGTTAACGACAATAAATTAACATGCAACTCTAGATTAATTAAGCGGAAATTGGTTAACAAGTAACAGTCGGTTAGTACAACAACAGTTTCCAACAGGGTGATTTTGGTTTGCAAAATAAGCCCGAAGCAATTGGCGAGTCTCGGAACTCATCAATTTACATATTTAAATATTATCCATTTTTAAGCAAATTTTAGAAGCATTAATATTATAAAGAGAAACGAAAATTATACTAAAACATGAAATACATAAAAAATATATAAGAATCGATAATTTATAATTTTGTATTACATGATACTGCATTTTGATATGGGTATACTCTGTTTTTTTTCTCAGGTAAGATTTCGACAGACGATGACAGAAGAAAAGCAGATGACGTCCCATACCAATCTATTTATTTTACTAAAAAAAGTTTCTAATAATTTTAAAGTTATCTATGGATGGGTTTAAATATAAATCCGTCATGCGTCGTGTCTTGTTGTTTTTAACCAGTTTTATTGGTTTATTTAAAAAATGACAGATCGTATTTCAATTTTATTGGTTTGACGGAACGATGAACGACAAACGGACGCCGATGCGTATGAACTCGCCTTTAGATTTTTGTCATTTTTGACGCTTGTCAAAGTCTTTTGAAAATCTTTTTCAAATTTTGTGTCAACTTTTGTTAAATACCCTGCGTTTTGGAAGATGATGCATTTTGATTCGTATTATTACGTGTGTTTTGTGTCTTTTGAAGTCAAGTGGAGGAAAAATCGAGTGAAAATTAACTGTAGACCCAGAGCACAGTTTATGGTTAATACTCGCTGCCCAGGCAGAAAGTCTTATAAACCAATGAAGTTGCCATCGATAAAGTTTGTATACCATTTCGTCGTAGATAAGTGCATCTCGTATATGGTAGAAGGATCAGACTAAACACATACTAAAAACTGGAGTAGCTGTAAAATATCGACATCACACGATAGGTAAATAATGGATTTTAGTACTACAGAAAAATAATGTCAAAAGGAACTGGTTTAAAAAAATTAAGATTAAAGTTAATTAATCAACCTTTAAGGTATAAAATTTGGTAGATGTTATTATTAATAAAATAGTTTGTTTTATTTACCTATGTTGTTTTATTTATTCCTGTGGAATATTACAAATTTGTATTTGTACATAAGTTATATTGATAAATATAATCATAAATGCGGGTAGTTTCATAAAGCTTGAAAGTAAATAATAGTTCTTTTTTATATTTTTTGGTATGTAGTGTCTTGTTCTTGTTTGTTTTGTATTAACACATACCGTTTTTATTAAATAAAATAACTCGATTACATTTTTTCAGTTTTATACAGTTTTTTTCACAATATTTTGAAGTAATCACTTGTCATCTTGTCAATCAAATTTTAAATATATCCTGCTATGCGTTCCAGTTGTACCAACTTATTTCTTTGTAAAATAAAATAAACTACTTTGAAATTAAAATGATAGACACATCTATCACTGTCAAGGATCTTCTCGTTGGACAGACTATATAATCAGCGTACATATAATATAGACCTAAAGAGGTTACCTACTCCAGACAAACTCATAAAAAAATTTGGTATACCATTACATTAAAATTAACTTAACTCGTCCCTTTTTATTCTTAATCTATGTGTATCTATCTATTCAAGTATGTGAATATGGTGTCATACCAAGAATGTACAACTTTGAGAAACACCTCACTGTAGTATTGAGCAATAAAAAGGATTGGAATTATATTAGTTACAATATAATAAAAAAATAAAACAGTGACTATAGCGGTCTACCATTTATCGGCTTATAATCGACGGTATTGCGCCTCATGAACAAAATATACAAAAAATTATTTAAAAAATCGTCTAATTATTGATTATTTCTAGTTATGGTAAAGTAACATTTTATACTGTAGTCTGTAGCAAAGTTTAGTTTACGAATTTGGTTGTGTTTTTTACTTTTAATTGTCTAAATCTCCGCATAATAAATACTAGTTGAATGGATTTATATCAAACCATGCTGGTTGCTAATAAAAGTAATCATTTACAGATTTCTCTTAAGAACAATGCTTTTAAATAATGTCCGTGAACCATACTTTTGTTGACATCAGGTCATTAATAATTTTCGTAAGCGGATATATTGATAATGTTACCAGTATTACTAATCAAGCAATACTACTATTATATTAATCAATTAAGGCCGTAAACAAACATATCATATTATAAAATTTTATATACTAATTAATTATATTAAAACTAAATCATAAAAATATTGTAATTCTATTTCTGCAGTTTCAGTGAAAAGTTTTGTTCCTAAATATCTACTATACATACAGGGTGTCCCAGAAATAAGTGCAGATATTTTAACTGGTAGTGTTCAACTCCAGAAACACGACTATGAAGTTTTTTTCACGAATTTCTTTTTGAAAAGTCGGAATTTTTTGAAAAATTTTTGGAATTTTTTTTTAGTTTTTAGTCAAAAAACATAATTTCTTGATAATATGGCAACATAGTTAATAGATTAAATTTACAAGTAAGTAAATCCAAAAAAGATCCAGTGTTTCTCAAAATTTTAGCAAACATTTATTTTTTTTGGAAAATTTCAAAGTAAAATAACGTTATTTTGAACTTATTTGAAAAACGCGATAAAGAGAAAATATGTTTCTTTTATCGAGATCTACCACCCCTTAAAATACTTGCACTTATTTCTGGGACACCCTGTATAATAAACGCGTGCTGAAATATTAATTCTGTGGAATATATATCAATATAACATAAAACGAGATGTAATTAACGAAATATTATCGTAACAACAGCTATTTTGGAAACGTCTAGGTATACTTATATCACTAGGGTTTATGAAAAAAAAATCCTTTGCCTCCGATACAGATACCGCCACGTTTTGGAAATAGCTCAAAACAAAACAAAATTGAATGAGGCGACAAAAAACGCTAAAAAACCCTCACTCTCCTCACGAGTAGTTTTCAGGTGCTTTTAAGAATCGAAAGTAGGTCGAGGCAAAGCGAAGTGGGTCAAGACAATTGGAAATAAATCGAAATGCGTACAAAGTTGAAAAACGAAATGCGACCTTGACATGTTTCGGGTTGTTTCTAAATAAATAAATAAATGTCTTTATTGTCAAAAAATTTTAGACAAAGGTAAATTAAACAAACAAACAAAGGAGAATACAAAACAAGTATACAAATTACATTGCCAGTCTTATTGTTTAAAATAAACATTTATAAATGTTTACATTGTCAAAGAATAAAAAAAAATAAAAATAAGATTCAAAACTATTTTGGAAGTTTATAGTAAATATAGTAATAGCAAATATTAGATCAGTGTTTACAAGATCAAATTCGATTATCAAAATATAAGTCATTTACGGCGTAGAAAGCTTTGTCTAGTAAATAAGATTTCAATGCTTTGCGAAATAAAGAAGATGATGTTATAGATTTGATTTCAAATGGCAGGTGATTGCGCATTTTTTTCGAGTTGTATAATATTGAACTTTTAACTAACTCTGAGCGTGGGGTAGGTAGATAAAGATCTTGCTCCGCGTTCCTGAGTGGATAAGTGTGAGATGGCCTTTCTTGAGAAGCTGATACATGCTTACGTATTAGGCAAACGGATTCAAATATAAATAAGGAAGGAAGAGTTAATATTTTTAATTTTTTAAAAAAGTCGTGGCAATGAGTTCTGCTGTTTAGTCCCAGTGAATATCGAACAGCTCTCTTCTGGAGCTTGAAAATGCGGTCAAATTGAGTCGCACAACACGCACCCCAGAATGGAAGGGCATATCTGAGGTGCGACTCAAAAAGTGCATAATATGTAAACAGTTCTAGCCACCGACAAGTTAAGCTCCTTGAAACAGATCTTAATGCAAAACAGGCAGATCTCAATTTTTTCGACAAAGCTTTGATATGTATGTCCCATTTCAGAGAATTGTCCACAACAAGCCCTAAGAATTTTACAGATTTTACGACGTCAATGGTGGTGTTGTTAACTACAAAAGACTGCAACGAGTTTTTATAAGACAAAGCTTTAGTTTTAGAAATGTTGAGACTCAGGAGGTTCGAATCGCACCAAGATTTAATGGTGATTAAGTCATTTGATATAATCCTATGAAGTGCCGTGATGTCCTTGTTGCTCCAAGTGAAGCTAGTGTCGTCCGCAAAAAGACATATTTTGCCACTGATGTTTATGTTAGCAATGTCGTTAATAAAAAGAAGAAACAAAATAGTGCCTAATACTGAGCCTTGAGGTACTCCACATTCTATTGGCTTGCTAGAAGACAACGTGGTATCCACCCTCACAAGTTGACTTCTGTTGATCAGATACGACTTAAACCATTCGAGAGATGTTCCCCTGAACCCATAGTGCTGCAGTTTATTTATAATATTATATAGCCTAGTATTACATTAAGGATCTTACGATCTACACAGTCGAACGCCTTAAAAAAATCACAGAAAATTGTTGCTGTAGAATGATGGTTATTTAGGCTGGAGTAAACTTTATTAAGGAGGTAAAACATAGCGTGATTTGTGGACTTGTTGCTTAGAAATCCAAATTGATCTTCAGTAAGTATTTTGTACTTAAACAGAAAAGATACCAGCCTTTTTTTAACCAACCTTTCTATGATCTTAGATAGCGTTGGAAGGAGTGCAATTGGACGATAGTTGCTCTTTGTCTCCTCCTTTATGCAGAGGAATGATTATTGCCGTCTTAAGACATTTTGGAAAAATACCAATTTGGAATGAATATGTTTATTAAAGTAGTTAGGTGATTCAGAGTGCTTTCTGGCAGATTCGAAAACATTTTCAAAGCATAGCATTTTTGGCATAGTGTATACGTTTTTTTACCCTATAAATTCACAATTTCCTGAAACTATGACAATATTCTGAGCTTTCACTTACCGTTAGCCGATCTTCTCATACCCAGATTGTCGTAGAGCGGTTCGCTGATCATTTCCATATTCGGGGGCGGTTCCGAGCTCCAGCTTTGCTGCCTCGGTCGTCGGGGAATAGTCACGTATCCAACACCCTGTCTAGGGATTCGAGGTACCGCTACTCCCTGAACGAAGGGGCTGTGCGACCTGGAATAGGGCAAGGTCCGGTAGATACTGGCCTGTTCGTAGAGGGGGCTGTGCAGGGGGCTTTGTGGACCGTGGATTGGGGGCAATCTGGAAAGAAAAATTATAATTATTAGTCAATATATTAAGAAAATTTTGAGTAATCTGGTTGATACGTTTAATAACCTAAGTATAATTAATCTGAGTATTAAAAAAAGGAAAAGTATTTAAAAAAAGTGAGAATCATACATGTCTTTTGATTCATAGCATAACAAGAGGCCTCTGTGTCATTTGCAATATAGGTATTGCATTTCTAATTTCTATTTACACTATTTCTTTTTATAATTTATATTCTCTTTATGTTCTAATTAGGGTTCAAAACCGAAAAATCCCGGTTCTTTCCCTGTTTTATTTTTTTACTCATTAATAAGATGTAATGTAATAAATTATTTTTTGTTACATCGAAAGTTCATCAAAGGTAGTTATCAAAATAGTTAGAACACATGTAGGTGGCGCCCCCTACAAATAGGAGTCATATTGACAAAATCAAATTTCTCATGTCACAATAGTCCCAGACACCAATTTTCATCCAAATATTGACGTTACTTCAGAAATTTTTTGGAAAAAATAAAAATAAAACTTCTACACCCTGTATCTCCGAAACTAAGCATTTTAGGACATACATTTATATGAACTTTTTTACTTATTTTTATCAGCAGAATATGCTGCCGGAATACAGTTCGGACCACCCTGTATAATAAGTAACGTAAAACGCTTCATACCAATATGCATATTTTAATTAAGCTGTTAAACACTACTATCACTTTATATGCACTAAAACAATTGGAACAATCGTTTTAATAATAATAAAATAGTTGATTAAAATGTGAAATAGAAGCCCTGGCATTTATTTAGATCTCTCGATTCTAGATCTAATGAAAGCTACAATACTATAAATAATATTACCCATAGTATTAACAGTTTGAATGATTATTAGTAATGAGATCACTCAAGCGAAAATTCGCTCGAGTACTCGATTATTGAAATAACCGACATCGCTCGATTATGAAAGAGCGATGCAAGTGACAAGTACCAGGCGACGAACGCAAGCGATCCTAGAATGAAATAAATTGAAATCCGATTTCAATGTGACATACTCGATAAAAAGCCGAGAGAATTTTCTACATACATTGCAGGTAACGTATTTATACGACGCCGTATATATCCGTTACGTATCTGGGCAAAAGGACACAATTTTACGACCTACATCGACAATGCTTTGAAATAAACTAAATCAAGCTATCAAGCGAATCGCTCGTCGCTTGCTATTTGTCATTCATCACTGCGCACGCTACTTATTGCTTGGCGTTAACGAGTACTTCCAACAAGCGACGGGTGAAAAACCGTATTTTTAAATACGAGTGATATTTCGCTCGAGCGATCACTCTGTTATTGCAATCGCAACCAAACCAAACCAAACTCAAGTACACGATTATTGAAATTAATTGGTTTTTCCCATCACCAATGATTATACTCATCAAATATAAGATGATATGCGAATTTCTCGTTATACAGGGTGTTTCAAAAAACATGTACCATCTCTCGTGGAGAGATTCCTCGCGTAATAAGATTTATTTTTTATATCAACATAGGTCCGATTCTGCTTTGTTTCGTAGCTACAGGGTGTCTTAATACTTTTTTGATAAACGCAATTTTATTAATTTGCCTTGATCTAACAACCTTTAAAAACCTTTGCTTAGCAACCTTTAAAAAAATAATATCATTAACTTGCGAAAATTTTAAATAAGTATTATATAAGTTCCTATAAACATGGGTATGGAAATGCAGAGTTTTAGAGCTATAGGATGCTAAAACTTTTTAAAATTAGTTTTTTTGTAATTATGCATCTTAAATACCATTATTTTTTATTTGAAATTGCGGTATGTTGGACTAATAGAAATAATAACTATTAGCAATAACATTTAATAATAAATTAGGTAGAATATATAATTAATTTTATTTTAATTTTAATTTTATTAATTTTGATTAATAAAAATGCGTTTATCTTATCAAGGAAGCCGAATTCGACAAACTATCAAGAGATAACTTCTAATTGGCATTAAATGGCCTACACAATTTTAATATCAAAAGAAAAAAAGTTAGTGGCGCACATGTTTTTTTTTTGAAAAATATTCCAATGATAACCCATATGCACGTCTCTGATAAATTTATTGGCACTTTTTTAGCATTAAAATATGTAGTACTTATAGTAACTTGGAAGAAAATTATAATAAATCTAAAGATTATTAATAAGACTTTAAGACCCTGTAGCTACGAAACAAATCAGAATCGGACCTATGTTGATATGAAAAATAAGTCATATTTTTACGCGAGAAATCTCCCCACGGGAGGTGACATATGTTTTTTGAAACACTCTGTATACGTTTTTCCACTCTCGAGGGAAATTATTAATTTTTTTAGAGAAATAAAATATTTTCAAAGCAAAACCTTTGAAGGCGGGTAAAAGGACAATAACTCACAATCTTTAAGTTGTTTAATTTAAATTTTACGTTACGGGGCGACATGTTTCGGGAATTTAAACTATTCCCATCATCAGGACCAAAGACAAAAGTCACCTAGGAAATACAACCACTCGGAAGAAATAAAATTACAACGAAAGGCTTCCTTCTTGAAGAGTTATACAATTTATAATTAAAATGAGAGAGTTGTGTAAATGTTAACAGCTCTAACTAATTTTATTTCTTCCGTGTGGTTGTAGTTCCTAGGTGACTTTTGTCTTTGGGCCTGATGATGGGAATAGTTTAAATTCCCGAAACATGTCGCCCCCCTTGCTTTTTTAAGCATTAAAATTTAAATTAAATAACTGAAAGATTGTGAGTTATTGTCCTTTTACCTGCCTTCAAAGGTTTTGCTTTGATATGTACTCACACTGGGTTAGAGAACGTTTAGTTTTTGATAAAATATTTATTTGTGTTTTAAGTTAAAATTTGTATAGTAAAAATATAAAGATTTTAAAGACCGTTCTAGCAGTATTTTACAGTTATTGGGGCGTTATTTGGCATCTAAATTTTGCTTAATATATTTTCACTCTGTTGTTTGCATTGGTAGTAAAATCGCCAGGTATGATCCTGTATTTGATGAGTTCTACATTTGCGCTAGTCCTAACAGTGTATTTATTTATTTTATGTAATAGGCTTTTGAATGTGTTGGCTCTAACTCGGGTAGAGATCCGCGATTGAATATACCCTTTGATTTTTGGTACAAATTCTATACAATAGTATCAGATATTGCATTGAAATCATCGTTAATAATCACTTTATGGAACCCGAATTGGTCTCTTTTATTAGATTTCACTGAATTTAGCTGATATTCGTTTAATTAATGTAATTTGGATTATTTAGTAAAGAAGTATCAATCTAATCTAAATGATATTAAGTGTTGATGGATTTACTAAGTTTACAAATACATAATGTTGTATAATACATATTTGATATTAATTTGAATGTGGTAGAAAATGATTCAGTATTAAAACTAAAAGAATTTCGGAGTTCCATTGTCTTTATTTATTTTGCTTACACAACGTTTCGGTCAGAAGTATCACTGACTGTTATCAAATGTAAATAGCCGAGAGTTCAGATGTGTGGGTTTTCTATATACAGCAGTACAATGGATCCATTGCTTCTATTGACAAGAACATATAGAAATGGTAGACAGAAGTTTTTCTCTTTCTCAATCGTTTTTCTCTTTCTCAATCGATTGAGTTACTTCGTGACTTGACGAACATAAAAATTGGTCAAGTGCGAGTCGGACTCGCGCACGAAAGGTTCCGTATCATTCATTATCTATACAACATTAGACATAGACACTATATTATTGTCAAGGTGTATGTGGCGTCATCTGTCGGAGAAGTGAGCAACTAAAAAACGTGTATTGCTGGTTGCCTGCATTGTTAACAAATCTGAAGACGTTTTTGTGGAAGCGCCATCTCTTAGCTAAGTGCAAAAGCGAATCGGACAGCAGTAGAATTTTCCAGTAGGAAGTAGAACGCTCTCCGAGAATTGTAGAAGGTTCGAGAAACAGTCAATAGCGTATATAAGCCCGCGTAATCGGCAATTGGGACAGTTTGAAGTTTGATAATACCGCGTTTTAAATTGTGAATTAATTGGCGAAGGTGCCAGAACCGTTAGAGTAATAGTAGTTGCATAAATTGTGTTGTAAATAGTATAAGATGTGTGTACAGAGTGAGAAAAATAAATTCGTTAAGTATTTTACCGTGAGTTTAAATTAGTGGACCCACGGAATCCCCGTAACATTATTATAAACTTTTTTCCGCTGAAGCTGAAATTTTGAATGCGCGTATAAGTAATTTAAAAAAAATGAAGAAACACATTACTAAAAATTGTATTAATCAATATTAAATATATAAAAAGTAAAAATAAATATGTAAAAAATTAAAAAAAAAACGATTAAAAAAAAGTCGCCTTGACTAGGATTCGAACCTGCCTTAATACGGCTCCAACGTCATAGCAGCGTAAAGTCCTTTAAACCACGCGGCCACCGAGGACTTGAAAGATTCTATGTAAAATTCTTACTTAAAAGATAATGTTTAGTGAAAGTACTTTTTTATTTATAAACATTTATTTAATTCTGTTTTTAGTATTTGTTCTTATAGCGGCAACATAGATACATTATCTGTAAAAAATTCAACTGTCTAACTATAACGGTTCATAAGATAGACCTTTGTGACAGACGGACGGACGGACGGACAGCGACGTCTTAGTAATAGGGTTCCCGTTTTTACCCTTTGGGTACGGAACCCTTAAACAAACACAAAGAGGTGAAACAATGTCAGGCATTGCAGATCATGGTCCAAGCACCACAAAATGAAATGGTCGGAAGCCAGGGTTGTCCACAAAGAACCCCATAAAAAGCGCAAATTTAGAGAGGCCGTATTCATTTCTAACAATAATAAAATCTTTAGCAATCCAAGTATGGAAATTTCAACAATATGGCAACCACTCATAAAACGCTCCAATGCAGGTATTCTGAGTGAACAACCTCATACTTGACTGCACCCAACTAATTCACGG